CTTTTGATCACATGTTCCGGGAATATGATGTCTGCAAATGAGAATCAATTAATAGTAGTAAATAGTAGTGATGATGGTCTGTATGCTAACCATCGTAACACACTTTCCACCAAAGATCGGCCAAATCGGCCTCGTATTTCATTTTCTTGGACACAAAGAAAGTGACAATAAATCCAATAATTGTAATGCAGAAGAATATAATCAATATTGTGGCCCAAATTGGAAAGGGATCTGTGAGAAAGGATAGTAAAAGTGACTTTAAATCACCACGGTTACGCAGATATTTTTCAAAATGTTGCGACAAAAAGCAACACAATTGTTGGCACAGAGCTTTCGTATCAATAATTATTATATAAAGCATATTTAATGCATTGATTTTGATTTTCTAAACTAAATATCGTCTCAGAGAAGACCGACTTTACAGAGAAAATCAAATACCGAATCATACAATACTGTGAATTAACTTAAATATATTTCAAATTATATTTTCATTATATACAGTCTATCCATTACTGTTTGTAATGTACTGTAACTTAATTAGCATTTTTGAACATTTGTCAAAATTAAAATCATTTTAAACATTGATAAATAGATAATTTAATTAGATATTGAATAGCAAAGTAAAACATTATCAAAATGAATCATGATATATTTTGCATATAGTATAATATTGGAAATATACTGCAATATTTCCAATCATAATATCAATACAAATAAATGTGAAAACTTGATAAACTCTTCGTTGACCATTTCAATGACAAAAACTTACCCTTCACTACACAATGAGGGGCGTCACCAGTGAATCCACAATAGGGCACATCTGGTGGGGCAGTCTTTTTGCCCCCGGGCCACACCACCTCAAAACCCTGTATCTTCTCATATAAGCGTCGGGCGCCGTAATACGTGGCCACTGGTCTCATAATACCGGTCTCGGGGTCCAAGTCGTTGAGCGTGTAGTCGGCCTCTCGATCGCCGTTTTCATTGATACTGATGTCACCCGTAAGGCCTGCTTATGAGTCGGGAAAACAGAATAAAACGTTTATCACGCATTAGCATATAACTGTCCGACAGTGATCATGGTCATTTTTTTGCATTGGGAAGCTATAAAATTTTTAACCATCTTTAAATGTATTGTCCCACAGCCGACGGGCCAGAGTTCGGCCGTCACGCGGGTCGCCGCCGACGGCCAGTGTTTTATTGTAAGCCCAGGCGTACATCAAAATGCAGTCGTAAAATGCGGCCACAATTGGGTTTACCTGAAAACGGTTTTGAATTTTGTTGAATTTTAGACTTTTCGTCTCAGAAGTTGTCTAAAAATCAATCGGTTTTTTATAAAGTAGAAGAGATAGTATGTGTTAAATAATGGTATCCTATAATTACACCCTAAGCCTCATCTGTTAAGTTAAATAAACAGTTGATTTTAACCAAATCTAGAATTCAATTAAAATTTGCATTTAATAGCAAAAATTCAAAGGCTTTCATATATTCTCTGTCAGAATACAGGGTTTATTAGTGTAAAAAACCTGTTCGATGATAGTCTTGCCGCCAAACTCATCCACGGCCATTTGGGTCACTTTGTGTGTGAAGGTGGCGTACTCGGGAGACGTGGGCACGCGTACCATCACCATCATCAAAGACTCGTACATCTCTCGCGCCTGTTTGTTCCGTTTGTCCCCCGACTGGTACCACGAAAAGTCACCCGAAGTGCCCGTACTCTTCACCAGCTCTACCCCGAAGAAGGCGTACTCTCCGTTATTCATTCCCAGTTCGTACGCCTCCAGCAACAAATGCCTCACCAGTTCTCCCGTCGATATCAATATAAACACTGATAGGAATTGAAAAATAATAGTTTTGATTTTGGATTTGTTATATGTTGTGAATTTGACTCATATCTGCATATCATATGACATACCTCTGGCCGCTCGGGCCGACTGTTTGAGTATCTTCTGGTAATTGACGGTCGAGTTGTCTCTTCTGGTAAACGTCTGAATATCTAAATTGATTTCGTGTCCGAACTCTATCTCTTTGAACACCGCTTGGAGACTGACTTTAATCAAAGTGTTGGACATTTCTGTCTCGTCCACAATGAGCGACACGTGATGCCAGTCGTTCTCACGGATCACTTTCACCAAGAAGTGCGACACACGGTCTGCGAGATAGCAATTAATGACAATTCTGTTACACATATTCTTTCCATAGTATTAGACAATTGTGTTATACTATAGTTATAGCGATTCTTCCATTTCTTACATTTGTTAGACAAGAGTTTTTTAAACATTAAATTCATTAAATTATGCAAAGTTTGTCAGACATTTCAGTTAAACATATATATTTTTTAAAAACTCTTTCTCTATTAATAATTTACTTTAAGTAATATATAAATTGATTGTTTATTATGTGAGTTCAATGGATAATATATTTCGATATTATTTTAATCCGATTATGACTATAATCAAATATATAATAATTTTATGTCATTTAGCATTCATATCAAGAATATTTTATTTAATATACATTTAAATAAATAAATTAAAACAATCGCTAATTTAGTGAGCTTATAATATGGTGTGTGAAGTGCAGTGCAATTGAAGTCATACCCAACGAAAAGGCCATTCGTGTCAACGAAGTGTAGGTCTGTTTCTTCGCGAACTCGACGCCAATACCACCGCCGGTAAAGATGGGAATATTCCAATACGAGGCCATTCTGGCCACCGGGTCCAGCGCTAGACTGCACGCCGGGCCTACGATTACGTCCACTTTTCGCAGATAAAACTCTTCGGCCGCGAGAGCGCCGGCAACGTTATGGACGCACGGGTTCTCGTCTTTTCGGGCCACCAAATGAAACCTCAAGTTTGGGTAAAGAATGCGCGCCCTATCGATGGCCAACGAGAGGGCAGGTTTGACCACTTCGTAGAAGACGGGCAGCTCTGCCTGCTGTGCCATTATTAAGAATATGGTCACATCGTTGACGTCCGACACAATCAGATCCGTTGTCCGACGCGGAGGAAAGAGAGTCACATTAGGTGTGGTATCGCTTAAAGTAAGACGGGCAGCTCTGCCTGCTGTGCCATTATTAAGAATATGGTCACATCGTTGACGTCCGACACAATCAGATCCGTTGTCCGACGCGGAGGAAAGAGAGTCACATTAGGTGTGGTATCGCTTAAAGTGGCCGTAAAGTGATTGCCGGCCAATAGAAGACCGACCGTTAGAATAGAGGCCGAAAATAGCAATTGTCCAGACATTTGTGTCCAGACTTTTATTTTAGACAATAAGTTATGCAATACTTTAAGCTTTGAGAAACAATCGTCAAATGATCGCCAGTTTTCTATCGTTTAGAGTTTTTATCAACTTTTTTGATATACTTTCTTGACTTAACTATCAGATGCACAACAAGTGATCGCAAGAATTATATCGAAATATCAATTTTAACTATTATTTGACACGAAATGTATGTGCGATTGGATTATTAAACTATATCTTAAAGTTCTGGTCAGCACTAGAAGTTGCAAAACAGATAATTAGCGGAAAAATATATGTATTTTCTGTGCTCAAGAACTGGATTCATCTTAAGCTGAGAGTCACGCAAATGTCTACTTTATTTGACCAAAAGTTATTGCATTCTTTGTGTCAATAGATTGAGAGAAATAGGAAATTGCATTTTTTGGTCATATATTCCTATTAATGTATTTTATAAAAATAAACAATTTAATGATTAATTTAATTACAAAGATTGCTTATTATCTTAAGAAACTTATTCTCAGATTTATAATTTAGAAATTAACGGAATATTTAATACAATTTTGTTCCGTATTTTGATTTGATAATCACTTTTATTTACAGTACATTAATTCTGTCTTAAACTATGTCTTCGTTTAAGACATTAATTATTGCTAAATGTATTAAATGTGTAAAAATACGAATTGATATTTATTTTGGTTTTTAAAATAAAATTATAAGAATTGCTAAATCATACATTTAAATTATTTATAAAATTAAAAATATTTGTTATAAATAGGGAATTGCATTTACCTATACAACCTATTTATGCGGTTAAAAGTCTTATCCCCAGACACGGAATGTGAACCGATCATGCTAGATCAGGCTAGACAAAGCTCGCATTGAGTGACTGCGACAAAGATTTGTTTTACACTGGGGGTTTTAAATTTTAAACCTAAAATATAAACAGTTTAGGTTAGGAATCGGCAGAACTTTTATTTCTAATAAATGATAATACATTATTGTGGTTACTATTAAACAAGTTGTAGTAGGAGAGTACATTGAGAGTACGAACGATACATTCAATGTAATGTAATTTATACTGTCATAGTGCATTCAAACCTATTATTCACAGATCATGTTATATTAAAATTAGTTGGGGTTACCTATTTTAGTCATATATTTTTAGTTAAGGGTATCAGAAATTAATAAATAATACGTTAATAGTGATTAATTCACTTGGTTAAAACAACAATTATGCCTTACTGTAAAAATAGTCTACTACTCCTTGCTATTAAACTAAGCATCGCCTGCTCTCTCTATATAAGTGAATGATTTTAAAGAGTAAATCATTTGTGTTTAATATAACTGAATCACAACTTTATTAAACCCCAACTCATATTAGTGCACATTATATATGACTAAAATACTATTTATAATGTTAGAAGTGATTGGAAAACGTGAAATCCGACGATTGATGTTTTAAGTGCCGGGTCTTAAGTCCTGTGGTTGAGTCGGTTGGCGGCCATCATTGGGGGACAATAATGGGTGGCCTGAGATGTGGGGCGCGCAACGATACGACGTGAGAGACCCCGCGCTGGGCTCTCACTGGTCCTGAGATGGGGCGGATCCTCACCGCAGCAGATCCTCTCTGCGTCGCTCAGGTCAGGGCCCACAACGGAGTACGGCTGACCTACCGGTGAGGGCATATCTCTTCCGGAAGCGGCGGTATCGACACGTGTTGGCGGGCAATGCCGACGCGACGTGTTGGGCGGTGGCCGCAGATGCTCTCTGTGGGTGTACTCACGCACGGAGTCAACGGAGTGCTCCTCCGGATCCGTCTACACGATGCCGACGCGGGGTCTTGAGAGACGACACAAAATTGTTCAATAAAACAATGTTTATTATGCGAAATGCAAACCGAGACTAAAGTGATAGTGTAGAGTGGCCAAAGGCCACTCTAATGAGTTTAATTAATTACTCAGTAGTTTGTATGAATTGTAACTTTATTAAATATAAAATAGATTTAATCGTGGTGAGTACTGGATCCAGAATGCTTATACATTGTTGCTTCAATGAGCTTATATAACATGTTTACAGGATGTTAACAAGGTTGATTACTCATATGCAAATCATGTAGTTGTCTAACGACTACAATAGCACACAAAAGCAGGGCTTATAAACAGGTTTGTGACTAAAGGTTAGGGATTTATACAATAATAAAACATTAGGGAAAATACCATAAAAATTATTAAACAACTTAAACATTAAAATACTACTAAAACTTGACACTTTCCATACTTTGTGTCCTCTGTATTGACTTTGACTCGCATTCGCAACATATCTATTCTATACAATCTTAACCTCAGCCCTTCCTCCCATAAACACCGTAGTCCTACCCACAATTCAGTACGAATAATGTGGTTTATAGGATCCTTCGGCCCCCTCCCCCTTAATAATGTAAGTTCGTTATTTAGTTGAGAGTAAAATGAGAATAAAATATAAGTACTTTCAAATAACTCCAAATAGATTTCAGTTTAAGTTACTACTAAATCACATTTCAGCTGTTATTTTGTAGAACAAAACGTCTTCAATCCCAGCACATCCAGAGGAATATTTATAAGACAATCACTTTCCCTATCCTTATCATTGTTTAATATCTTTAACTCCAAAATATAAATTTTTGCCCCCTTTTTTTAATTCTTGACACTATTATCGCAGTGCTAAGCTTCAAAACAAACATTGCTATCGAAGCACTTCGCATCAAGTTTTAACCACAATTTCCGCATACAAACCAAACAATGTATTCCCAATTCAGACCACAATTGCCGATAACCACTTCTATGTCTTATACAAAATTATCTCACATAAAACATTAACTGTAAACACATACAAAACACGCCGATTTCAGCTGCCTCTAACACCCATATGACGATTTGGTGTATCATGCGTACAGTACACAAATATATAACGATTCATAACTAAACTATTGATCTTCGCTACAACCTCTTAACGCATCCGATGGTAAAACTCGTCCTCCCAGATTTTGGTAGCTAACTACCGTTTGACGGCTCGTGCAGGTTCCGAAAGTGCACGCGAACTCTATTTCCGTCACAAGTTTCATTTGAGAAGGAAGTGAATTTCCTCTATCGTCATCAATAAAGCTGTATATCGCGCGCATGAGCACAAGCATTCCCGCCCAAAGTCATACAATCGAGACATCGAGAGCTCGCATCCATCAGTACACGCCTGACACCCGTTCAGTGAACATCTTTGTGTAACTCCGGCAGAACTCACACTCTTGTCGTTAACTATAAGACCTTTTGTACACTATCTGTAAATAAAATCGTTTTGTCGTACAAATTGTGTTCGTACAAACTATTCATTATTTGCCCACATTCGCTTTACATTAATATTATTTTGTAAAAATACTTTATTCAACAATAAATTATAAAAAGTAGTTATTACCAATAATTGACCATAATTAACTAGATTTACTTAGGTTGAAATCAAAGTCACGTCTTCAGCTCTTATTGTGTATAAATTTTTATTGTAAAAATACTATGCCCGACAGTGAACTATTAACAATTGTTATTTTTTATTAAATTAATAATAAATTACAATAATATACTAGATTAACCTAGGAGGAATTCAACGTCAGGTCTTCAGCTCTTATTGTGTATAAATTTTTATTGTAAAAATACTTTGCCCAACAGTAAACTATTAACAATTGTTATTTTCTATTAATTAAATAATAAATTACTATAATATACTAGATTAACCTAGGAGGAATTCAACGTCAGGTCTTCAGCTCTTATTGTGTATAAATTTTTATTGTAAAAATACTTTGCCCAACAGTAAACTATTAACAATTGTTATTTTCTATTAATTTATAATAAATTACAATAATATACTAGATTAACCTAGGAGGAATTCAACGTCAGGTCTTCAGCTCTTATTGTGTATAAATTTTTATTGTAAAAATACTTTGCCCAACAGTAAACTATTAACAATTGTTTTTTGCATAAAATATCTGATCTTCTCTTCGGTTGTCTCTAATCTCATGAATTCATCGCTCATTAAAGTGACACAAATCTGAATGAATTCTGAATCCATTATAATTTGTTATTTTATCACTTTTTAATTAAATTTAAATGATTTTTAATTATCGCGTGAAATAATATTTAAATATTGTTTTATTGAATTTTAAGGTATTGTTAAAATCACATATCATTATAGACTTATAATTCACACAAATTTTAAATTACAATTGAGTTCAACTGTTAACTACTGATTGCTATAACTTTTGATAATTCAAAGATTATCTGAAGTATAAATAAATTATCACAAAATGATTAAATTTGATATAAATTTGATAATCGTATCAATGATTGTGTTAGGGCTGACACGGCTTTCGCGTCCTCCAGACAACCAAAACAATTGCATTTAAAGTAATATTTAGTGAAAAGCGTTTTCTGTCGCTCAGGAAGACTGTCGACACCACGTCTGGGACCGTAAGTGACGGTCAACTCTTCGCCGCTATCGATGTGACGAATGGCACCGAAATGCATGGTTTGGTTCCGGAAGATCCACATCATGTTTGGCGCACAGCTGTGGTTAAACAGCGTTCCCCTCAACAGCAACACATCGGCCACCCGTGCGGTCGCACAGCCGTCGGCCACCACTTGTTTGACACCAAAATAATTGATGAGCACTTTCCGGATGTGACTAATGATCAGAAGGCAGAGATCGACAAATTGCCGGTTCGGGTGCTTTGCGTCCAATTCGTAGAGTTTCATGAAATACAATAATAGACACACTTTGACGCCAATCACGATATCAAACGCTTCGCACAATTGGTTGCGATTATTGCTGTGGTCTTGAAATTGCGAAAACTCGTGATATTTGCGGACAAACGGGTCGTACTCTTCGCTCATATCGTGACATCCATTGAACAGATCCAACGCTTTGTCGACACCGACGCCGGCAATCATTTTGTAGACCAAACTCGTATACGAGCCGTATT